GCCCCAAAACTTGAGATAACATAGTAAACTTGTAAAACATGAAGAATTTAGGATCATTTCATAAAATCATAGCCCAAGGTTTTGTTAAAAATTCACAATTTCAACTTGAAATTCAAGAAACAAAACATGCATGTAAAATCTTTTTCTTAAACTCCATGAAACTAGTAAATTAGCTCAAAGGCTCCATGCATGAGGGAAATCCTTTTCAAGATGCTTAAGTTAGGCTAAAAAAACATGCTAACATGTGAAACTAACTAGGCATGCAAACAAGCCACAAGGAGGGAAGGCTAACGCCTCCAATTTTGGATTTCAAAATAAGTTTTTGGCCACTGAAAAAAAAACTCTGAAATTCAGTGGTTAGAAGGCCCAAAAGAGTTAATTTGAAAGTGATGAATAAAAGGCACAAAAGTTATACAAGCAAAGAAGCAAGAAGGGTAAACCAACCCTAATTAAAAAAGGCTGAAACCACACTTTTAAGTCACAAAAATAGAGCTTCTTAAAATTCAAAACGAAATGCAAATCAATGCTTCAGATAGATGCATTGCTGTTCCATACAACAAGTCCAAGCTATATACACAAATAGACCTATTTTGGAGATAAGTTAGAAATTTTTTAATTTTTTTTGGTTTTTTTTTTTTTTTTTTTTTTTTTTTGGTTGTGAAAAGAAGGGATTCGAAAAAAATAAAAATAAATAAATAAATAAGGGGATGGTGATGAAATGATGAGTGTGGGGATGATGAATATATAATGATGAAGAAAAAGAATAAAGGTCGGAGTGGGAACAGACGGTTAATGGTTCTGAAACAGTGGGATGAAAAAAAAAAAAATATATATATATATATATATAATAATAATAATAAAAAGAATGGGACAAAGTGGGAGTGTGTGGAGAATTATTATTTTAGAGGATGGGGTATGGCAGCATGATGATTATGTCTTTGTTTTGGGGGTGTGAATGTATGGTGTGTGGGTTGGTGCCGAGAGTGAGAAAGCTGGTTTGGTGAGGAAAGGAAAAGGAAGTGGAGTGTCAGATCCACTCACACTTGTTTTTGTGTTTTTGCTTTTAAACAAACATGGCTCTCATAGAGAGAGAGAAAGAACAAACATGGCTCTCAAATATGGGTAGTATTTGTATCCCGGTATTTGATATGAAAGAAGATTCTGTAGGAAAATCAGAGAAAATAGTAGAAGCATGCAGGGAGTGGGGATGTTGCAGGATCATCAACCACGGCGTCCCACCGGAGTTGATGGCGGAGATGAAAGCGGCGACGCAGTCTCTGATGGAGCTCCCGGTGGAGAGCAAACGGCGGTGATGATGAGGACGATACTGAACCGGAACATGATGAGGGTACTGAACCGGCACCGCAATCGGGACATGGAAAGCAGGGTTGGGACCAAGTCACCTCGGTGGCCCGAGGCGAAGAAGAAGAGGAGGAAGAAGATGAGTTGCTGCGAGGGACGAACTCGGGTGCAGCGGCGGCACCATCGACGTGGCAAAGGTGGCGTTGCATGTCTGAATATGTGTGTGATGTCCCTCTGTTGAGTGGTGTGTGTTCTTTGGTCTCTAGAGAGAGAGAGAGATGGCTAGAGAGAGGAAGATGAAGTTACAGTCTGGGTATGTGTAGAGGTCCGGCGGGCGGCCAAGGCGAGGCTACCGCCCGCCGGTGAAACAGAATGACTAGGTTCTTAACCTAGCTCTGATACCATGTAAAATGTATGTATTATTGATTGATGTGTATATATTACAAGATTGATGTGTATATTGATATACTTGTTATGTTTACAATGATCAAATATATAGAAGAGAAGAAGGTAGTAGGTGAAGTGGTAGGGGATGAAGTGGAGGTGGTAGTGGTAGGTTAGGTGAGGAGGTGAGTGTGTGTGGTAAGTGGTAGTAGTGGGTTAGGTTTAGTGGGTTTAACAATTATAATTTCAGGATGGATACTTGTGGATATCCACAAGCAATTCTGTACAATATTACTGCTGAGACGTACAGGACTGGACCATGGAATGGTGTCCAGTTTAGTGGGGCTTTGAACTTGAAAAAAAACAGTATCTATAATTTCAATTTTACTTTTGACGAGCAGGAGGTGTCTGGTGGTTACGAGCTTGTCAACAGCGCAGTTATTTCAAGGTTAGTGTTGAGTCAGGATGGTGTTATGAGGCGCTGGACATGGATTGATCGAACACAAGATTGGAACCTTTACAACACTGCACCAGCTGATAGCTGTGACAATTATGCAGCGTGCGGTGCTTATGGTAGCTGCAACATTACTAATTCCCCAGTATGTGGGTGTTTGAACAAATTTGTCCCAAGATACCAGAAGGATTGGGATAGGGGAGACTGGTCAAATGGATGCATGAGGAGGACACCCTTTGTTTGTCACCATGGAGATGGATTCCTAAAGTATTCCAGGGTCAAATTGCCAGACACACAAAATTCATGGTTCAACGTGAGCATGACCCTTGAGGAATGTGGGGCACTGTGCTTGGAAAACTGCTCTTGTATGGCATATGCAAATTTAGACATACGAGAAGGAGGAACTGGTTGCTTGCTTTGGTCTGGCCACCTGATTGATATCAGAGAGTTCAGTGAAGGCGGGGAAGATCTCTATGTGAGGATGGCATCCTCTGAGTTAGGTACTACATTGTCTCAAAACTTATAGATGACTAGCTCTTATAGATGAACAACAACATTGTCTTACACTCCAGTAACGAACATACGACACAACGTACATACAAACATATATGAAAGATAACGGTGTTTGATTTCTCATTCCTTATCTGACATGTAGTAGTCAGAAAGATATTTTTCATTGTTTAAGACATTATTTCGCTCAATCACTGTCAAATCTCTGTTGCTTGCTTCTGCCATTTCGGTGGCTAGCTGAAGCATGAAATGTCGACATCTCCGCATCAACATTCTGTTGTTCTCCTTCTTAATTCTGCTAACTGCTTTTTCATAGTCACTCACATTTCGTCTAGCCATGGTTAATGAACGACGATGAGGTACCGGTGCCCCAAAGTTACGTAGATCATTAAACAATCCTTCTTGCTCTGTTACCCTAAACGCCCATTCTGCTCGGATACCAGCATAATAATCCTTCGGACTCGAGTACTTTTCGCTCTTGTAGTCATAAGTAAATGGAGGTAGCAGCCACACTTTCTGATTTCTTTGCCAGCGTGAACTTCCTGCACCTCTTGAAGACATTGTTCATAAAATGAAAAAACAAATAATAATTGTAATTGTAGATATATTACTATTGTTATGACTTGAACAAACATCCTACTGGGGGTATCGCTATTTATAGACATCATAGTAGGGGTTAACTAGAGATGATCTAGTGACGATAATGCATGTTGGGGCACTATGGAAGAAGTGATACCCGTGATATTATTTTATGTTATTCATTTCATGCAATCCTGAGTACCCGTGACGAAGTGTACCTGTGATGTAGTCACGGACGTGGTTGTCAGATAAAATCATAATTGTAGGCCAGAGGATCACAATGCAATCCCTTCGTGTTCGAGCAGTGAGTTGTCAAACAAAACAAGATGCAGTGAGTTGTCACATCGCCACATGAAACTATTTTCTCATGCTTACTTTTGTAGATACACAACCGTAATGTGAGGAAATATACAACCGTAATGAAACAGAGTGCAAGTAAATACACAACCGTCCAACTCACTTTGACCTGCAAAACTATCGTTGTTTTTTTCACCAAAATTATAAAATGGTCGTATTAATGTGACTTAGATGAATTCTGAAATGTGAGGAAAAAACAAAGCATGTAAGTTGTGCTGCACAAAGTCACATGCATCACGTAATGTGAGGAAAAAAGTCACAACGTATAGAAGCATGGCAAAGTCAGAAAGTCACATGCATTACTGCATCACTGCATAAAGCGCCATGCATTACTGCATCACTGCACAAAGTCACATGCCTCACTGTATCAATGCACAAAGTCAGATGCATCACTGCATCGCTGCACAAAGTCACATAGCTAGGCTGACACCATTAATGTATTGTAGAAAAATATTGTAAATCTATGTAGTAAATTTCAACTTGACTTTGAAAGAAGGTAAAGTTACATTTTTACAGTAGCCAGGCTGACACCATTAATATGGCACAACAGCCGATGCTATAGGCCTTTGATTCGTTCATGACTTGACAAAAATGGAGTCCTAGCAGCCGAATGCACTGTATAAGGCCAGTGGCATGCATGTGATCGAACAAGAAATGCTCATGCATTACAATATTTTAGTACTTCAAATTGTAAGTATATTTCAATGCAATAGTGTAGTCAAAATTGAGGCAGTGTTCAGTTATAATTAAAATATTTGTTTTTGTTTTTATTGAATTTTTTTAATATTTTAAGCAATTTTTTTACTTTTTAAACACACCTAACATAAATACACTTAAAAAGTAAAAAAATTGTAAAAAAAATCTTTCAAAAATTCAGTAAATACCAAAAATATAAAAAAAAAAAAAATACAAGCATTCAGTACATTTTTTGTATTTTCA